GGTCCATCTCATCCATTCTGACCAGATATCCTAAATTAATCTTGTCCCATTTCCCAGCATTTGGCCCATATCCCTCTAAAGCTTTCACAGTCATATACCCATCCAGATGCCTTTTAAATGTAGTAGTCATACAAGCCTCCATCACGTCCTCTGGCAGCTTATTCCATACATGCACCACCCTCTGCGTGAAAACGTTGCCCCTTAGGTCCCTTTCAAATCTTTCCCCTGTCAATATAAACCTATGCCCTCTAGTTTCAGGCTCCCCTACCATGGGGAGATCACCACTCAACCTCCTACGTTCCAATGAGAAAGGTCCTAGTCTATCCATCCTCTTCTTTTACTCAAATCTTCCAGTCTCAGCAGTATCCTGGTAAAGCTTTTCTGAACCCCCTCTAATATAATTTTATACTTCCTATAGCAGGGTGACCAGAACTGTACACAGTTTTCTAAAGTGGCCTCACCAACATCCTGTACAACCTCAGCATGACGTCCCAACTTATGTGCTACTGGAGCTACAATTACCATGGCTGCTGGCACCAGACTTGCCGTCCAATAGATCTTCATTAGAGGATTTAAAGTGTACTCATTCCAATTACAGGGCCTTGAAACAATCCTGTGTTAATATTTTTTGTCACTACCTCCCCGGGTTGGAAGTGGGTAATTTGCACGCCATCTGCCTTCCTTGGATGTAGTAGCCGTTTCTCAGGCTTCCTCTCCTGCATTGAACCCTGATTCCCTGTTACTTGTGGTCACCATTGTAGGCACAGAAAGTACCATTGAAAGTTGAAAGGGCATACACTCAAATGAATCCTCACTGTCATGAGGGCTTGAGATCTGACTGATGGTATCCAGTCTGAACAACAACCATCTTCCACCACCCTCTTTCTTCTACCATCAAGCCAATTTTGTATCCCATTTGATGGATTCCATGTGATCTAACCTTTCCAACCAGTCTGGCTTGCAGAACCTTATACAGTTCTGAGGAAGGGTCACCGGACCCAAAACGTTAACTCTGTTTCTTCCTTCACAAATGCTGCCAGACCTGCTGAGCTTTTCCAGCAACTTTGTTTTTGTTCCTGATTTACAGCATCTGCAGTTCTTTCACTTTTTATTTGAACCTTATTGAAGGCCTTGCTAAAGTCCACATAGACAATTTTTATTGCTCTGCCTTCATCTATCTCCTTGATCACTCTCAAAAAAACTCAATCAAGTTTGTGAGACACAATTTCCTACTCACAAATCCATGACTATCCTTAATCAGTCCTTGCCTTTCCAAATGCATGTAGATCCTATCTCTCAGAATCCTCTCCAACAACTTATCCATCGCTGACATCAGGCTTGCTGATCTGTCATTCCCTGGCTTTTCTTGCAATCTTTCTTAAATAATAACACAACATTAGCCACCCTCCAGTCTTCCTTTCCACTCACCTGTGGCTGTCACAGGAAGGCCACCTCATGAAGCTGGTGGCTTCCCCAAGCAGAAAGGAGTTGCTGCACCAAAGGCAAAATACTAACAGTCCTCTTAAAAGCCTATGAACCAATAATTATGTAAATTTCTGCACATTTCTGCAAGTTAAATCTGTTTCTCACTCTAGAGTTGCTGCCTGATGTGATCCATTTTTCTCGCATTTTCTGTGTTTATGTCACCATTTTGATGTTGGTTTCACTGGGCGGTGCTGTACTGTAAGAGTATGTATTTATTGCCACTTGAAGTTTACTAAGTGAATTATCAACATAGTTATAAGAGTTATCAATACAGACACTGGCTAAGGAAGTTCTAAGGAAGGGTCACCAGACCCGAAACGTTAACTCTGTTTTCTCCTCCACAAATGCTGCCAGACCTGCTGCGCTTTTCCAGCAACTTTGTTTTTGTTAGGCACTGGCTAGTCTCAGCTGATCTATAATAGTAGTTGTCACTCTACTGAACACACCACTTTATAAATCTGACAGTTCAATGGCAAATTAATTTCACACAACTTTTGAAACAGGAAACCAACAGTTGAGTTCATCTGAGGCTTACAAACATCAACAGCACCAATAGTATGGTTGTCATCGCAAAGTAAATTGAATGAATCTCACTATTTAATATATAATATGCAAGATGACAGGGCTTTTAATATGTTCCTACCCTCTAAAACAACCAGAACCTGCCTCCTGAGCTATTGGGCCACCATGCCATTTGGAAGATGAAATAAGATAACAGTTACAATCTCCCTGTATCCAAACAAAGATTGACCTTAGTTATGGATTTTGAAATAAGTGTTCTTATTAGATTGTTTATTTTTCCAGCAGTTTTGCAAGTTGAATTAACTCAACCATTTCCATTTAACAAATGATGGTTAGAAATTTCTGGCAGCATATTTCTGTAAACGAAGCACAGACCACTTCACAGAATGCCTACGTTCTGTCCGCAAAAAAGACCCTGAGCTTCCTGTGGCTTGCCATTCCAACACAGCACCTTGTTCCCCAGCCAACATCTCTGAAACAGGCTTGCTGCAATGCCCCAGCAAAGCTCAGTGCAAGCTGGAAGAACAGCACCTCATTTTCTGCTTAGGAACTCTACAGCCTTCTGGACTCAATATCAAGTTCAACAATGTTATGGCTTTAGCACCTTCCCCTTGCTTTCTCCCACCTCCACAAACCAGGCCTTGTTATCACATGGTCAGCTATTACATACAACCACTAATAGTTCCCATTAGCAGCCATTCATTCTCCTAGGCTGACCATAATCCACTCCTTTGTCTGTCCAATTGTTTTTCTTTTTGGTCTCTATCTCGACCTATCGTTTAGTCCTTCCCCCTTCCCCCACTCTATCTCCTGCACAAAAACTAACTTTTCTTAGCTACCATCAGTTCCAATGTGGAGGTGCCAGTGATAGACCGAGGTGGACAAAGTTAGAAGTCACACAACGCCAGGTTATACACCAACAGGTTTAGTTGAAATCACAAGAATGTATTCTGTTCCTGTGTACTTCCCTCCACTTCACCTGACAAAGGCGCAGCAATATGAAAGCTTGTGATTTCAAATAATCCTGTTAGACTATAACTTGGTGTTGTGTGACTTCTGACTTTGACAATTAATTCTGAAGAAGGGTCACTGGATCTGAAACGTTAACTCTGATTTCTCACCTCAGATGCTGCCAGATCTGCTGAACTTTGTTTCTGATTTCGAGCATCTGCAGTTCTTTTTTTTTTGTTTTTATAACTTACCTGGTCAGAAAATTACTTCACTCTTGATAGCTGCCAGTTGCTCCTTAGTCAGACCTGTGTCTTGAATTGATTGCACTCACTTTGGAATATGTTGTCAACAGATATCAATTCCTGATCAGCTGTCAGAGAACACAAAATCCTAGCATTGATAAGCAGTTAAGAATAAAAGTATTCTCCATGCAAAATTAATGCAATAGAAATATTATATGAAAACTGGATTATCTGAAAACCCCACGACAGGATTTATTGACATGAGTATTCTAACAGTATAACAGTCAGAGCATATCGTATTTAATGAGCTTACCTTATCACACAGTGAATTTCTTCCACTTTGGAAGTGTAGATCTAACTATGATACAAAAGCAAAATACTGTGGATGCTGGAAGTCAGAAATAAACGCAGACACTGAGTTCACCCTATAGGTTGTGAACTTACTTGTTATCTTCACTGATGTTAGCTGACGTGCTGAGTATGAACAGCATCTTCTGTTTTCATTTTGTGAATAGAGCTGACATGTTTTACAAAAGTTACTTTGAGATTTGGCTATCATTCAGTCAATCATGTCAGCATTGAGCGATTTATCAGTTGACTAATAATATGGTGAGAACTGTAACAGCCGTGAAACCCAGAATGGGGAAATTCCGTTACACTGTGTTTAAAAATGAACTTAAAGGTTCAGGGTGAAGATGGACTGTTTTCCGAATTTTCTTCCATTATATTTGGACCTGTTTGCACATCATTGATTTAATATGTTACTAGAGTTAGGTAATTGTGAGAACGCAAAACTTCACTAATAAGCTTGTGACCACATTCTAACAGTGTGGCTGAACAAAATCACATCACCATTGACCAACACCTGGGAATATGTTTCTTCAAGTAAACTTTCTAATCTGTTCACTTTGCTGATTATTTAGTTCATTCTCCCAGCAAGTTAATTATTTAATTAGAGTTGCACTAACAGAGAGAAAAGAAAACGCTGTGGGGTTCTTACGGCGCACTGGCAGTATTTCCTACCTCTGAGAACCCACCTGCGCATCTCTGAGCGGGTTGCTGAGATAATATGTCAACTAAAAGGCTGAATACTTCAACGGCTTTACTAAAGCTCACGGTGGCTTTGTAACGGGGAGCTCGTCACTTTAACGAAGTCAAACTGCAACAATGTGCTGGAAAGAATCTCTGGAAAGTAGGCATCAGCCAAGGGTTGGAAAGTGCTGGTTCTGAACGGAGTGCTAGGCTGGCTGCAAACTTCCCAAGGTGGATTGTGAAACTTTCTCATCCAAAATGTTTCCTTAGGATTCGACTTTTCACTTTATCCACGATTCGTTTGTTTGTGTGTGTGTGTGTGAGTGTGCGTGTGTGCTGTTTATTTTTTGTTACGGTGTGTCCATTGATTGGTGATTAATTCACGTTGCATTTGGCTTTGCCCTGGACTCATTACGTCAGTTGGTTTCGTTGCAGTCCACGGGCTGTGATTGCTGCAGGGGTCTTGTTGAAAGCGTTTGCTGCTTTCAGGCCATTGCTATGATGAATATATCCCGCTGATACTAAGTGAGGCTGACAGAGCAGTCATCGCCTGAGGAGAGACGAACTTTGGGTTAAGGAAAGTCTTTTTTTTCCCCTAATATTTATCTTAGGCGTTGCATCGATCACTACTTGGTTTTTCTTCCTGTAAAGACATATTAATAGCTGATATTTACATAAGCTTTCACCATTACTTCCAAAAGTAAAGAATTATTGGATTTGGCTTCTCGGATATTCCGAAGAAAGCACCTAATCGCAGCACTAGTGGGTACGGTCATGGTGCTGATCCTGCTTGTGATCATCCCCACGCTGGTCCACAGTTCGAGAGCTGCAGCTCACTATGAGATGCTGGGGACATGCAGGATGATCTGTGATCCTTACAACTCCAACCCCAGCAACACGGCTGTGGAAGCTATGCGGGATTTCAGCGCTATCCCTCCACCGCCCTTCATCCAAGGACAGAAAGGGGAACCTGGACGGACGGGAAAGCCTGGCCCACGCGGTCCTCCGGGCGAGCCCGGTCCCCCGGGTCCAAGGGGCCCATCGGGAGAGAGGGGTGACCCGGTAAAGGACGTGTACCCGGCGCTGAGTGGGGCAGCGGGGCCGGTGACTGGGGCGCTGAGCAGCACCGCCGTCACTAGTCCGAAGATCGCCTTCTATGTCGGTTTAAAGAGCCCCCATGAAGGATATGAAGTGCTCAAGTTTGACGATGTGGTCACGAATTTAGGAAATTACTACGATTCCACCACCGGAAAGTTTACGTGCGCTGTACCCGGGATCTACTTCTTCACATACCATGTCCTCATGAGAGGAGGTGACGGGACCAGTATGTGGGCAGATCTCTGCAAAAACGGGCAGGTAAGTAGAGAGCTTGCTTTTTTTAAACAGGCAGCAGATAGCGCACTGCACCGGCCAGAAAAAAAAACCCGACCAGCAATAAGCAACTCCATAACACGACTTTCTAATTTAAAACGACTTAATGACAAATTAATTTGGAGCCAACTCGGGAATGAATGGTCAGTTATTTCACCTGATCGGCTGTTTACTTGCTTCACGAACTCCGATTTATATCTCACGTTTTACCTTTCACGTTGGTTTGCAGATCATGATTTTGTTTTTGTAACCAGTTGAATCTGCTGCTCCTTTCGGTTATAAAAAAAAAGTTTTGATCAACTCGGCTCTCAACATTAGAGGCGAATATAACTTGTCCCCACGTCAAACAAAAGTTCTCGAAGTCCCAGCTCCGGAGTTATTTTAGAGGTCATAGTCAGACAGCACATAAAAGTGCCTTTCGGGCTCCGTGGATGTGAAGTCATAATTTGTTCTCACTCTTTATGTGTATATATATATATGTATATTTGTTTAGGTTCGTGCCAGTGCGATTGCCCAGGACGCAGACCAGAACTACGATTACGCCAGTAACAGTGTGGTGCTTCATCTGGACTCTGGGGATGAAATTTATGTCAAACTAGATGGTGGAAAAGCACACGGCGGCAACAATAACAAATACAGCACCTTCTCTGGTTTCATTTTATACCCAGATTAAATGACATGAAAAGGACATTGGGAATATAAATGAGATATTATGTAACGGTGTTTTCCTGTCAATGTCAGTTTGTCTGTGGTTACTTTTCCTTCAGACTTTTTTTTGTACTGAATGCGAAAGTGTGCTTGTTCGTGTAGGCCATATTCGTGAGCAAAGCGTGCTTGGCATATGGCGCAAGGCTTAATAACAATGCATTACATCAGACAACTTCTGCATGGGCAGTTCTTGGGAAGAATATAATAAGCTGCAAAACTGGATTGTTCATTCTAAAAGCAGAACACTGCGGGTGTTGGAAATCTGGATTGAAAACAGAAAATGCTGGAAATACTCATCAGCCTGGTCGAAGGCCTGAATGAAACTCTCTCCCCAGATGCTGTCTGATCTGCTGGACTTTTCCAGCCTTTTCTTTATTTATTCTGGATTTCTTTATCCGGTGACCATACTGTAGTTACCAAGTTTTGTGTGATGATACACAGTATTGGTAACGTGCTCTCACTGTTTTACAAGAAATATCCAATCATTACAATCCAAGCCTTTAATGTAATGTTACAACATTAAATGCCATTTTCTACAATACTTTGCTCTGGTCCTTTAGATGTGATGAAACCAGCTGAATAAAGTGTCTATTACTGGGTTTTAGGTCGCACCCTATAGATTTTCAGCCAGGATTTTTCTGGCGCGTATTGAATAATACAGAACACTCTTCTTACGAGTTATTTTGATGGTTGCTTCTCCTATCATTGGTAAGCCCACCAAATGGGTTTTACGGATATTAATCACGATCTTCACAGCTTTTGATCTATAGGTATCATTTTCAGAGATGGACTTAGTGTAGAATTCTCACCACAAATAGCAACTTACAGAACGAATAAACACAAATTAACGTGATAATAAAGATGATATGAAAAATGCAACTCGTTACTATCAAAACAAGTCCAAACAGTTCTGCACTAGTCGGCCAATACTAGCCCTTGGGCGATTTCAGAAACTACGTCCATACATTGAGTATTGCACATAATATAGCAATTTAGTTTCACAGCAATGGGGATTGTTCGTGTTCTGATTATAACTGTTGCAAAGTTCAGTAGAGAACTTATGGATTGGAAGGCAAGGCGTTAAAATTTGCTGTTTGTAAAATATTGATGTTTATAAAATGATAGGGGGAAAGCAGTGTGTGGCCCCTTCAAAAGATGAAGTATGTTTGGGGCTCGGAGATTAGAAAAAAATACCTGTGGGCAGCTTGTGGATTTGCAGGTGCAGAGACCACCTGAATTGTAACATTTGTACCAAAAGACTGGATGGTTAGCTGGCCAAGCTGCAGTTTTGTTTTGTTATCAAGACAGCAAGGTTTGATTTAGCCAATTAATTTAAACCAGGCACTTAGATACTAAAGAACAATTAAATTTAAATCTGATGGTTTTGACAACATAGGACCAATTCTATTGTAAGAAATTGATATATCATCAAGGATATAAAAGACTGCGACAGTTGCAAAATTGGCAGAGAGCAAACTGTCATCTGCTAAGAGATCAGCTCCCTCAGCTCTTTGAGAAAGCATCATCTAAATAAAGGTACTGTGGCACTCTTACTTAATATTCCTGACAGAAGATCAATGGAGAAGATATAGAACATTCTGGAAGACATAATCTGGCTGTAATTTCGAGAGACTAAGTTCTAATTGTTTTTATTGTTTTAGTTTATATAAGTGGGACTGGTATTTATTGGAACAGCATACCATTAGAATTTTGTTTTATTCGGGAATAATTAGTACTTAGATGGGAATTGTTCGGTTTGTTAATAGTTCAGTTAATTTGTTCACTTTTAGAGTTAAACAAATAAATTACTACTTGTTGATTATAGAGTGAGTGTCAGGATCTTATTGCATTTAATCACTTCTTTATAACAGATTGGGGGTGAGAGACAGGTTATAGCACTTTTCACACTTCTTTTAATGGATTATAGGGTGAGACAAGCCTCTGGTGATGTTTCAGTTTTAGTTATCAGGGGTAGGGTGGCAACCTCAGTTTTATAGCATAACAAAGACAATAATTTTTATTTTTATAACCATTTTCTGTTTAATTTGCATGTTATAAAAATGCATGTAGGAATTTTCTTGGTAGTTGTGATTTTTGATTTACATTTAAGTGTGAAGGCAACTTGAGTTTCACTGAGATTCTATTTAATGTTCATGCTACTAGCAGTCTGTTCATGACAAAAGTGATCAGAAAATAGCATCAATTTTGGTAAGGTTTTAATACAGTTGTACATGTTTATATGTGGTGATTAATCTCCTCAATACATCAGCTTTACAACAGAGTATAGGAATTTATCTTTAAGCTGGTTCAGCTAAAATGAACTGTATCAGTGTTACTTACATTCAGTTCCCAAATTTTGCTTCAACAAATCCCATTCGTTCAGAGAAAGAGGAAGCTAAAGAACTGATCCTACTCAAGTTTTGAAAATGAATATTGGCACGTGAGTCTTTTCCAGCACAGTATAGAACTCTAAGGAGATATCATTGTGCTTTATTCTGGTGCAAAGGAAAGCTTTGTACTTTTAACAAAGGCCTGACCATTACCCACAGCAGAAAAGCAATGAAGATTCATTGCAAGGGAATTGGTGGTCACATTAAAAATACAAATTTCAGCTTGAAATTCTTAAATCTGTATTCCCTGCTACAGACACTTCCTTTAATTCTCGTACACTGCTGCACATATGTCTGTAGAGGTGTCAAGAGCTAAGAGAATGATGGATTGATGAGGCTTGTGAAAGAGGAGAGTTGCATGACAGTTAGTCCTGACAGTGATGTATGTATCCTCACATTATCAATCTAATGCTGGGGATTTAGGAAAGCATGCTGAGCGCCCCATTTTCTACTTGCTGTCACGTTGCCAATTATCATGTCGGTTAACATTCAGAAAGACATATTGCTGGTGACAATGACACCAAACGCAATCTGTAAAAAAAAATAGGCTGGATTAATTTAAAACATGGTTTACCGGCGAATTTGTTTTCAAACGTTATTTTTCATAGTTACAACATTAAAATACTCAGTCGCAGCATCTGTAACATTAATTACATATAAAATGCATTTGAAGAGCTGTCAGGGTTTTTCAATCAATACATCTAATTGATTGACTCCAATCTCCTGAGACTTTCAGTCAGTAGGATAGAGAGACCTGCGCGTTAACATTAACCTTAGAACATTAATTAAACTTAAATAAATAACTCAGTTTACTTTATTAGATTTTATTGGAGTAACTAGACTGATGAATAAGTAATTAATATTGACATGATTGGTACATTTGGTGAACATAACTTTGAATTTATGTACTATATATTCAGGTCATACATTTATTGCTGGAATTAAATGATATGGCAATTGTTTTGTAAATTTGCCTTTAAAAATGTAGGCCCACAATTTTTATTATAGTGAAGCTGTGGAGAATTGCTTCTTTCCCTCTATTACTAATAGGAATGTATGGTTTGAAGACGTGCAATTTGTGAGGAAAGACAAAGGACTGAATGTGTCTTTAGCAATGACCATTTACCATTGTTGAAGTGTTTGGTGAGTCAGTTCCCTGCTTTACATGTTAAATGTGTTCATCAGGTTGTCAGGTTTTGTGACAAATGGATTTGTACCAAATTCAAAAGGCAGTTTTTCAATGATATTTTTAGCTATCACTCTTTGAAAGTCAATTGGAGAGAAAATTGGACTGAGGGCAAAATGGACCACCAATTCACTATTGCCCATCTTGTGCTATTCCCGCAATACAAATTTATACCCTTATGCAAGTTTGCATTTGGGTAGCAGTTGGATTTACAAGATTTTCTTTTCTAGAATCGTCATATTGACATAAATCTTGTAAAATATAAAACACCTTTAATCAAGGCCAGAGTTGTCAACAAATGTCAGACACCTAGATGACTTTTAACAAAACGCAATTTGCTGCATACAAGGAAGCTTGTTGAGTTATTTGCAAGTGAATGATTGGAAGGTGTCAGTCCATCACAACCTAAAGGAAAGGTCAAAATTTTATATGGACTGAATTATTCTGATTTTCTATGATTTGTATGATATGGTAGGCGTGCAGTAATTGACTTATGCATTGTGTCTTTCCCATAAAACGTCAATGTTTCTGATTATACTTAGGAAACTATCCAATCCTGCAATGGAGGAGAACCTATGAAATGTATGTCCAGTACAAAGAGGGTCCTACTGGTGTAGTGGTTCTTAGCTTCAATTTTCTTTACCTAACATTTCAAACCCAGCATTGGAATCATATATATGTGGGACACTAAACAGAATAAAATCAATTTCATTGTGACTGATTATCAGCTATCTTTTTTCTCCAAATAAAGAAATGGAGGAGTACTTAACTGCCTGACCTTTGGTTACTCCATTAAAACTTTGATGATGGTTACAATTCTAGCATCATCAGTTTAAAAATCTATTAATTAGTATTTTGGTTAATAACAGTATTCTTGTTAAACAGGCAAATGTTTGTTTTACATTAAGCTGTAAATGTAGCATTCTTCTTGCAATTTCAGAATGGTACTTAAACAATTTTTCTATTACAGTTATTCTTTTAATGGAATTAAAAATAAATATTTTACAAGTGGAGTTCAAAAAGCAAACAACACAAACTGACTTAAGCAGTGGTTGTAATAAAAGCAATGTATGTACAATATTAGATGTTGTAAAAATGATTATTTCATGTTGCTAAGTGACCAGTCTGTCTTCCAGAAGAATGAAGATGCATTACCTCTAGGGTATATTGGCAAATTGGAAAAGAATATGTACATGCACTGAAAATGTCACTTTAACAAGCATCTAGAGTTCAAGACAGCTAAAATGTGCTCATTGACCTGGATGTTGGATTATTTGTTATTTCTGAGAATGTCAAGCCTTCAACCTACAGATGAAAAGAAATGAATATGACTTGCTGAAATGCTACAACTGTCAAAATTGTGTATGAGCATCAGGTATCATGCAATTG